TTTCATATCTATATATATATTTTGCTTATTGTCTGGGTGTTTGTGTCAAAACGGCTGAACCGATCGGGCCTAAATTTGTTGTGAGACCTCACGTGACCCCAGGCAAAGATTAAAGATAATTGAATTTTCAAAAATTTTCCTATAACAAAATTCGATTTTTGAAAATTTTGTAATTTCTCAAACATTTTGCTTGTAAAATCTGCGAAATTTTTTTTTTCAATGTACACAAAGAGAGCATGTTTACAATTAAAATAGAAGATGGGAAAAGCCTAGTGTATGATATACATAAAAATATGCAAACATATGAACATATACTTAAAATTCGGTGATGGTGATGAACCAAACCTCTTTAGAGTAAAAAAGTAGATGTTCATTCCACATTTATTGGAAATATATTTCGGTCTGGGTTAACCCTCGTCAGTTCTTGAGATTGTTTCTGTCAGGAAGATTAAAAACAAACTCATAAAAACATATTTATTTACGTATATATTTTTATCGTATTGCTTCGTGAAATGTACAAAACAAGTTGTTTATGAAAATTAATCTTGCACAGCAAACTATACAGATGGAGAAGGTAAGATCTATGCAACTACGGTTTGACCTCAAATATGAGAAATATCAATTTATTTGAAAACTTTTTTTTCAATAGATCTTCCATACGAGGATTTATGATTAAAAACGAAAAAGATTTTAGTTTAATTTAATTTAATTTGACGTAGTTGAATATTAAAGTTTGTTTTACTTATATATGTAGTAAATGCCCTACTCCATAAGGGTTTCTCAAACCCGTATCTGTCCAGGTACAACTCAGTTTCACTTTACTATCAATGCCAAACCAATGGGCACGATCTCGTAAGCTATTGATGTCAACACAGACACTAGCTTGTAATCTATCAATGCCAAACCTATGGGAACCGTCAGCTATCGATGTCAACACGTACACTAGCTTGTGAACTATCAGTGCCAAACCAATGGGCACAATCTTGTCAGCTATCGATGTCGAACTATCAGTGCCAAACCAATGGGCACAATCTTGTCAGCTATCGATGTCAACACAGACACTAGCTTGTAAACTATCAATGCCAAACCTATGGGCACCATCTCGTCAGCTATCGATGTCAACACATACACTAGCTTGTGAACTATCAGTGCCAAGCCAATGGGCACAATCTTGTCAGCTATCGATGTCAACACAGACACTAGCTTGTAAACTATCAATGCCAAATCATTGGGCACAATCTCCTCAACTTGTTTGTTAAAACAAGGAATAATTACTCTCTCACTGAAATGAAAGCGGAGTCTATACCAACTGAGTATATATAGGTTCTAGATTAAAGATTAAGTTTTAACATATGTAATTACAAGTTATGTGTTGTAATATATAACGTAGTTAAGTTAATCATAATATGGGTTTAGCTTAGTTATATATAAATATATATATGTAATCTAGGTTGGGTTAATCGCAATACATGATTTGCGTATTTACTAATGAGTGCATTTAGATTTGAGGACAATGTAAAATTGTAGTTTATCTAGATTACTATGGGCCTCTGTAGTTATTGCACATAAATAAAGCTCTTTGCTCTTCCTCTAGTTTCTTTCTTTTTAGTATATTCTAAAGTTATTAATATACAACATCTTGTATGCGTAAATGTTAATGATAAACAATTGTCCAATCTTAGATTTTGTGGAATCTTTTATACATTCAAAAATCTTAAAAATTTATAAAAACCAAAGTTTTTTCCCATTACTTCTCATATCTTATTTTTAAAGATGTAAATCTGTTAGGCAGTACTAGAAATTACCAGATTTTAAAAAAGCTAAAAAAATTTCTTTTAAATATTTACTCCCATTGGCATCTAAAAGGAACCTATATATTTGGCAAGAATGTTTGTTTGTCTCCAATAAACGTTAAACCAATTGGACCCAAAATTGCTGCTGTATCTCACATGACCCCAAAGAAAGTTTATGGTAAATCTGAATTGAAAAATCAAACTTTTAGAAATCTGCAAAAAAAAGTGGAAAATCCAAACGTTTAGAAATCCTTATAAATAATCTGTAAAAAAAGTCCAAAAAATTTTAATTTACAAAATTTTAGTTTACAAAATGACGGCTTGAAAATACCACTTTATTTCAAAGCTAAAGTTTGTACTGGAAGGCTAGGCCTGAGGGCCGAGGCACCCTGAAAACCTATTATACAAAAATAAAAAAGAAGGATACAGGGTGTTTACATTGATTACTGAATACATATGATAATTATGATAATTATGATAATGATAATAATGATGATAATGATGATCATGATGATAATGATGATAATGATGATAATGATGATAATGATGATAATGATGATCATGATGATCATGATGATCATGATGATATTGATGATCATGATGATGATCATGATGATAATGATGATCATGATGATAATGACGATAATGATGATCATGATGATCATGATGATCATGATGATCATGATGATAATGATGATCATGATGATCATGCTGATATTGATGATCATGATGATAATGATGATAATGACGATAATGATGAAATCTATAATGTTGTAATCTCTGTTTGCTCTTAGTTTGTTCGATCATAACTCAGGAACCCCTTTGCTATAGC